GCTTGTCTGCATAAGCCAAGGCCCGACTAAAAGTGGTGGGTGGAGGTTTCAGAGGAGGTAGATTTCGATTGCATGTGAAGAAAAACTTGCTAGGGGGCCGTCTGAAAGTAGAAGGGGTTGCTTTGGGAGGCTATTTGATCACTTGTTAGGGATGTTGTTATAGTATAGACTTTTGGAACACGCAACCGAAAAATATTTTTACTTAACATCTTTTTTCAATCAACAGAAACCCACCTTTGCGCTTCTCCCTTTCCCTCTCCACCCTCCCCAGCTGGAGAACAAAAGGAAAAATAAAACTTCCGCTTTACACTACATAAATGTGGCATGTTGTTAATAGCAACAATAAGGAGCCCCAGATTTAAAGTCACAGGTCCTGTCTCAACTCTTCTTTTTGCTACCACGTGACCTTAGAATGTCATCTCACTTTTCTGGGCCTCAGTTTCTTCATCTTTAAAATGGGTCATTTGGACCAGATGGCCTTTATGATCTCTAACAAGCTCTGAACAATGATCCCAGTACTGGTTTCCTTCCAAGCTCAGCTTAAACCCCAACTTCCACATGAGACCTCTCCTGATCTCCCAGCTGCCAGTACACCCCCCCTCCATTTACCATGTGTCTATGTGTTTGTTTTGCATCTACTTATATGTACATGTTGTTTTCCCTTTTTGGCTCGTAGGAGGCAAGGATGATTTAATTTTTTGTCTTTGTCTCTCCAACACTTGACACTTAGTAGGTACTTAAATGCTTACTGATTGATTATTTATAACATTATTATTAGCTAGAGCCAATTGCCTTCTTTTTCCCCAAGGAAACCTGTTCTTTTCCAGGTATGATGGGGTCCCTTGAGACTTTCTCTGTCTGGTACATGACCTGGTATCGTGGGACTTTTGCCTAATTGGCCTTGGGGAGCTTGGCCCACACCATCACATGCTGGTGAAATGGGAAGAACTGGGCAGAGAATCCATAGCTTAAAGTTTGCCCTCTCTGTCAGGGTGTCCTACCCTCCACCCAGTACCTCTCCCCCACAGTGACCAGAGCAGATAAGCTTCTAGTTTCTTCCCAGAACCAAAGGAGGGTGGCCTGATTAGAAAGTAACCCAGGCACATGCCCCAGCAGGCCATGGGGAGGCTGGGATATCGTGTTGTTGTTTGTTTGTTTGTTTAAACCCCATTTGAGGCTAGGCTGGAGTGGTAAATATTGACAGAAATTAGCTGCTGCAGGGATAGACTTGTGGTCTGGTAGAGGCCCAGGGAAAAACTTGCCCTCTCTGCCCAGAGGTACTGAGGGACCATAGTTGCTCTGCCCTGTTGTAAGCAGTGGATGGAAACCAGATGCCACCATCTCACTGGAGGGCAATGGAAGGGGAAGGTTTGTGGTACATAGTGAGAGGAAATAAGGTAGGAGGCTGTATAGGGAAGGGCAAGGGAGACCCTAAACCTGGGCCTGCTGTCCAAGTAACCCGCAGGTATTTTCCATTACCCTCAAATCATAAGGGGATTTTCTATGAACTTTATACAAGAAACCTTACTTGTTGGAGCTGGAGGGGACCTTGAGATCATCCGGTCTAACCCCCCGAGATCCAGAGGGGAGTGGATACAAGAAAAGTTGATAGCGTCTTTGGCCACCAACACTATAGCTTCTCCCCTGTTATTGCACTGAATCTTCTTGAACTTTTGAGGGAATTGCCACGGAGGGTGTGGGGAGAATGACAGCTGCATTTCATACTCTCCTAGACTTCTAGTTTCCTTCTTGTGGAGGTCCTGGGAAGTAGGACCCTCACCTAGAAAAGAGGGGATTGGGGTTGACCAAGAGACAGAGAACTGGAGTTCTCTTTGCATGGGCTGGAGAGGTGACCTGTGGTATGGTGTAAGATTCTAAAGTCAGAGGACTTGGGTTCAAATCCCAACTCTGAACCTTGTCATCTGCACAAGCCCTCTAAACCTCCCCAGCCCCTACTTTCTTCATTTGTAAAATGAAGAGGTCAGCCTAACCAGCTTCTGAGGTTTCTTCTGGAATCTCTGATCCTATGATCCAAGGAAGGAGAGCCTCTGAATTCTACACACACACCCAGAGGCGGGGAAGTGCAATTCTTACAGCTCATTCCTGCCTTCCAGCATGACTTCTCCTCCAAAAGGTGAGAGTCCCTTATTGTTTCTTTGGTCTGGTAGGACTGGCCAGAGAGAGGGTGAATGCCTCTCCTTCTTTCCCTCCCCAGCTTGGGTTCTTGGGGCCTGAAAGATAAACATCATCAAAGGTCACCACTGCAGAATATAATGCAAGTCACTGCCTGTTCCCAAAGGCTTGGATGTGTTGACATGGTAACAGCGGGAGGAATATTACGCTGAACAAAGCAAACAGAATGAATGCTGTGTTTTACCTAGCACCAGCAGCGTTAGGAGAGGTATGGAGACAGGCAAGGGAATTTAAAGGAAGAATCCAGGCTCTGGGTCCAGTACTTGCTCATCAGGACCCAGGAGCTATTTGTAGCAAACTGGAGCCTAAATGAAGCCCTAAGTCAGATCAGGGACAGACAAGCAAATGTGGACAAAATAAAATTTGACCTGAACCTTAGCCTAAAGTTTGTGTCCCATAGAGTTTTTTGGCCCAAAGAGCTTTTGATCTTTTTCCCCCCTTTGACCCATAGTGTTATTACTTTTTTAAGGTTTCCCATCATGCTTTATAATTTTCTAAGTGCCTTCATGGACATTATAAATCCCATCTTTATAGAGCATTACATTTTTCTCCAAAGTACCTTTAATCAGTTATCTCATGGTGAGGATCAGATAGGACCATAGAGCTAGAGTCATCTGGCCCAACCCCTTTATTTTCCAAATGAGGAAACTGAGGCCCAGAGAAATTAAATGTTGCATAATCCAAGGTCATCCAGGTAAAAAAACCTTCAGAGGTGAGATTTGAACTCAGGCACTTTGACTGCAGAGCCACTGCTGTTTGCATTGTACCATGATATGAAGGAGCTAAGTGGCTCACTGGACAGAGAGCACTGGACCTGGAGCCAGGATGACCTGAGTTCAAATCCAGCCTCAGACACTAGCTGTAAGTGTGACCCTGGGCAGATTATTTCACTGCTGTCTGCTTCAGTTGCCTCACTGTAAAATGGGGATAATAATATAGCACTTATCTCCCAGGGTTGTTGTGAGGATTAATTGAGATAATATTTGTAAAGAGCTTACTTAGCCCAGGGTCTGGAACATAGTTGCTGTTGGTGTTTGTCCTTCATTGTCATGACATCGGGAAGGTGATAGTGTTATATAAATGCCTGTTTCCTCCCCTGTATCAAACAACCACTTGAGGTAGGCAAGGCAAGAGTATTTTCCTATTTTATTGATAGGGACACCAAGACTGAAAGGGTACGTTGCCCAGAGTTACACAGGAAGCTGGGGCCTGATGATGTACTTAAGTTCTTGGTCAATTCGGTTGACTGTAAGTTGCAGAATAATTTTGGCATTGGTGAGAGCGCTTCCTGGGCATAATTGCCTGCACCAGCAAAAGCACAAGTGGGGAACAACAACAATTTGTTTTGTTGAATTGATTTAGGGGCAGAACTGAGACCAGAACTCAGGTCTCTCAACACCTAGTCTAGTGTTCTTTCTACTCCAGTCAATCAGCAAGCCTCTCTTAAGAGTCTGCTCTGTGTCAGGCTCTCTACTATGCTCTGTCAGGTTCTCTCCCTCTCTGTCTCTGTCTCTCTCTCCCCCTTCATCTCTCTCTTTCTCTCTCTCTCTTTCTCTGTCTCTGTCTCTCTCTCTCCCCATCCCCCCCTCTCCCCATTCTTTCTCTCTTTCTCTCTCTCCCCATCCTCTCTCTCTTTCCCTCTCTCTTCCATCCTCTTTCTCTTTCTGTCTCTCTTCCATCCTCTCTCTCTCTCATTCTCTCTCTCTCCCACCCTTTTTTTCTCATTCAGTCCTTTCCTGATTTCCAGCAAGACTGAAGAGTAAAGCCCATTCCCCGACAAGAAAGACACTGACCAAGGAGAAAAGAATGGCTGGCTCAGCCTCCAAGAGGAATCTAAGTTCATCATCCGTCTTTTGTTCTCACTTAGACACTGTGGCTTAGCTTCTCTTTTCCTAAGTGTCCCGTTTAGTCATTCATTGATTCACTCATTTAACGTATTTTTTTTATAATACTTTCCCTAGACCTCTCCTTTGCACTTATCTCACACTCCCTTTATCATTAGTTTTTTGTTTTGTTTTGATTTTTTTTTTGAGGCAATCGGGGTAAAGTAACTTGCCCAAGTGCACATAGCTACTAAGTGTCTGAGGTTGGATTTGAACTCACATCTTCCTGACTCCAGGGCTGTGCCACCTAGCTGCTGCTATCATTAGGATTTGTATCATTATATTTTGTATGTCTTCCTCTCTTACCACCCCCCTCTTTTGATTGTACGATTGCATTTCATATAATTTCCCCTGTATTGGCCACACACACAGTGAATAACTTGGTAGACATTCACTTATTCAGTAAGTATTTATTAAGTCAAAGGCCCTGTGGTCAATACAGATCTATATACACACATATACTCATTCCCAGCCCTCGAGAAGCTTACAATCTGGTCAGGGATGGGAGGAATAAGCTGCCATGGAAGAATTAAAATGTATCACTGGAAAGGTTGCAGACACAGGAGGTACCAGGAAGCAACATGAGCTGAGTGCCAAACAATTGATAGGAGCAGAAAAAAAGGAATCGATTACTCTAAGTGCCAGATGATTGATACAGACATCACTGCAGGATAGGTTTGTGGGGGAAGCTTCATGAAGGATAAAGATAAAGAGGTTTGTTCATAGTCATGTGGTTGCAAAGGGTCAAAGCTGGGACTCGCGGTCCTGTAATGATGCCGCCTAGCTAGAACGGTCTCGGGTCTTAGAGGGCTCGCACCACAGTAGCCACTATCATTCTGTGAATTTAACTGAGGGGGTCCCCTCTTCCTTTCAGCTTTCTAACTGTTTCTTTTCCCCTTTTCCCCTCTTTCTTTGGCTCCATAGGCTCACCCCACACTATATTTACCCGCAAGCGATTGTCCAGCCCAGCGTGGTGATCCCCGCTCCTGTCCAGTCGATTGCGTCCCCGTACATAGACTACGCTACAGCAAGCCAGGCCTATACCCAGTATACCACAGCTGCCTATGACCAGTACCCTTACGCCTCCTCTCCTGCTGCTGGTTTCGTGGGATACGGCTACACCAGCGCTGTGCAGGCTCCACTCGCTGCCACCAACCCAGCCGCCACCACCACCTTTGTGCAGTATCAGCCCCCACAGCTGCAGCCTGACCGGATGCAGTGAGGAGACCTGAGGAAGGACAGTCTGACCTCTGGAGGATACAGCCAGACGCTCCAATAGTGATGATACAAAATAAAACCAAAACACAAAAAAACCAGCAAAAAACATAACAAACAAACAAAAAAACCAACCTACCAGAAAATAGACAAATACCCCACCAGAAAAACTTTTTAGGTGCATATGAATACCTAAGCTATTTATATAGTATTAAGGGTAGGCAAAAACCCTTTCAAATCTTTACTTTGTTCATGGAAGAAGAGAGAGTTCTGGTTTTTTTTTTTTTTTTTTTTTGTTAATCAGCACAAGTGATGTCTTGATGATGGCCTAATAATGATGGGAAAATCTAATTGAAAACCATACAATTACTTGCACAATTTCGTGGTCTGCTTCCAATATGTCTCATCTTCCAACATCTTTCTTCTCTCTTCCTTCCCACCACTCCTGACATGTCCACGTGCAAGCCTGCTCTTTACCATGAGGTACAAAAAGATACTTGGCCAAACAATGCAACAATCTTCTCTCTTCCCCGCCCCCCTTTCTGGTTGTACAAAAACTTTGTAATAATACTCAGATGCCTTACTGAAAAAAAAAAAGAACTATTTTTTGAATATTTATTGCGATTTTATTCGCATGAGCTGTGAATTGCAGACAGAAGGTTGGTAATAAGTATCTGCCTGGTTTAATTCTCATTTACTAAATTATTGTATGTAGGTAAGTTTCTAAGAAAATGACTGAATCATTTCAACATACAAAAGGGAATATTGTCCTCAGTGGAAAGTAAAATATTCCTACAGTCAACAATGCACTGTAATATTTTTCTTATTTTAATTGTTACACTGTTCAGATCTCAAAATTTAAGTATGTTTTTTAAATGGGAAAAAAATGCTACTTGCTCCTCCCTTATCACCCCAGGAATACAGAACATATTGTATACTTTAGAAGCTCTCTTGTTATTGCTGCAACCTATGGAGAGAAAATGATGACAGTATTTATGTAAAATAAAGGAAGTCTGCAGGATGGGAGCCAGCAGAACCAGGGAGAATGCCAGGAACTGATCAATGGTGTTAACCTATCGGAACAAAAGGAAAAAGGACATTTTATGCCTGTGGTACGACAGCTGTCTAAATAAAGAAAACAGTCTATATAAGTTAAGTGGATTTTTACCAAGAAAGCAATAAACTGTTTAAGATTGTTCTTCTATGTGATAATTGTATATCATTCACCCCTCTCACACTCCCCAGAAGGGGACATAAAAGTAAGCCAATGATGATGGAATGGAGTGGGATCTACTCTTACTTAGGAATCAGAGTGGGGAATCCTCAATAGAGAGAGCCAGGAAGGTTCATATGATCTAATATTAGCAGGGTAATTTCTCCAGGATTGGTTAGCCTAGCTATTCCTCCACCCTCTAGTTAAAAGTCCTGCTGCCTTTAGCCATCGTCTACACCCACACTGTCCATAATTTTAGGATATGATGAAGTGAGACAGAGGGCCTTACCATTAGGGTTCCACAACCCCAAATCCCTTGGATGTTAGAACTGGAAGAGAGCTGGAAAGAAAATGACCTAGTTCAACCTTATTTTTCAGAGGTAGAAACTGAAATCCTCAAAAAAAAGCATTGCATTCAAGGAGGCCATCCCTAGTTTCTGGTTTGTCCCAGCACTGGGTTGTGAGGCTGAATATCACCCATCACATGTAGCAGGGTCCCTCGAATATTCGGGACCTTTTGCCCAGGCCTGTTTGGATTTCATTGTCCCTTTGAGCTTGTTTGAGTTTGGCATTTTTGGTTTCTGGGTTTTAAGAGCTGTTTCTGAAGATGTAGCCAAGTTATATAAATACTTAACACTCTCTCCTTCGTTCCTCCAACAAAGCAGTCAGGGCTGGGCTACCTGTGGGTGAGCCAGCTTTCACAAGCCTCAGGGACCTGCTGGGCTGTAATACATAGTGTTAAGGAGATTGGAGGACAGTAGAAAATTGTGTTGCTATTGATAAGCTTAGGGTCTACTAAAGAACTCTTTTTGCAGCAGGGAGGTCTGGTGGAGGTGCTTTTGGATTTTTGCTTGAAGCTCGGAGTGAAGAAAAGGTCAGATCTCCAGTGACCTGTAATGGATTGCATTTTAGTTATTTAAACACTGCCTTCTTGCATTTCACCAGTAAAACGTGGAGAGCTTTAACTTGAACTGAATTTCTAAAATGGGCTAGTGTGGTCAAGAAAACTTGGTAGTTTTTCAGCCTTGCAAAAAAGCCACTCACAAGAGCCAAGGAGTGAGACTGTGTGGTGTAACTAGGTGTTTGAGCTTAGGCAAATCACTTTTCTTCTCATCGCCTGATGCCCAGGCCCAAATCCCCATTGTCCCAGAGGCCATCATCTTGTGCCAGAGGGTAGCCTCCACTGGAGGGCTTAGCACCTTCCCCCAATAACCCCAACCTGTACTCCACTACCTGTTCCTCATCATGAGCTCTCCATCTCATTAGGGACAGCTGGGTGGTACAGTGGATAGAGCGCTGGGCCTGACGTCAGGAAGCCCTGAGTTCAAATCTGGCCTCTGACGCTTACTAGCTGTGTGACCCTGGGCAAATCATTTGTCCTTTGTTTGCCTCTGATTCCTGATCTGTAAAATGGGGATAATAGCCCGTATCTCCCAGGGTGGTTGTGAGAATCAAATGAGATAATAATTGTAAAGTGCTTGGTACATAGTAAGTACTATATAAATGTTAATTATTATCATCCTAATGGTGGTCGCTAAAGACTGCTAGGCCTTGCTGTCAGTCCTGGGGCTTCATCCTAAGAGTCACCAGGCCTTTTCCTCTGTCCTGCAATGAACTCACTTATACATGTTGTCTCTTCCAATTAGAACATGAGATCTTTGAGAACAGGGATTTCTTGCTTTTCTGTTTGTATGTTCTCAGTGCTTAACATAGTGCTTGACACTTGGTAGGTGTTTATTGCAGATTATTCTATTTTGAGTCTCAGTTTACTCCTCTGTAAAATACTTCACATTCTGGTAAGTGAATTTTTAAAAAATATGAAGAATGCAAATTACTTTTCAAAATGGTGGCCACCTCCCCAATGACAAGCCTTTCTTCACTTAGCCAGGCTGGTCTCACACCTTTTCTGATTTGCAGGGGCCTGCTAGAGCTACCAGGGGTGGGGAACCTGCAGCCTCGAGGCCACATGGGGCTCTCCAGGTCCTCAAGTGTGGCCCTTTGACTGAATCCCAACTTCACAGGGAATTCCCCACCTCTGGAGCCTTAGGATCTGACAGTGTAGTCTTCCCAGCTCGGAGACCACTTCTACTATATGGCAAAGCAAAGCAGAACGATTTTAGTTCATTTGAGAGGAATGCTTTATGGAGAACTTGTAACATGTTGAAAATGCAGGAATAGCAAAATAACATATAACATATAATGCATGCAACATGCTATGAATTATATAATATATTGAATTATAATATTTGTTATATAATGAAATAATATACAATTATATTCTAATAATATAGTATTAATATAAACAATGTTATCTATATTATACTACACATATAATATGTCACGCATGTTATGTATCACATGTATGAATATATATGTATTTTGTGTGTATAACATGTTATATACAATAGATAGTTGTGTGTATAATGTGCATATTTTGTATGCACAATGGTATATACCACACATGTATATATCATATACACACATGTATTTTACATGTGTATAATACATGTATAAGATATATAATATCATATACATGTATAATATAGTATGTGCATAATTTTTCTCTCTTTCTACATCACATTTGTTTTCCTCTTAACAATTCCACTGGAATGCCATTCTATTCCATTCCACGAAGACCAAGTACCTGATAGATATACAGCAGATATACTGAGATTTAGAACAGGGGAATCCAGATTTTTTGATAGTAGGGCCCCATGATCAGGAATCCTTATATGTTCAGAGGAAGGAGGCAGGGAAGGGAAGGGAATGAGCACTTGTTAAGCACTTACTGTATGCTAGCCTGCTATAGCCCCTACTATATTGTGTTGTCTTTACAAATTTTTTATAATGAGGAGGCATGAATTCAGTTCTGTAAATGATTATGTTTAATTTCATTGGCCTAAGCCCGCAAACATGATAGCTGGTAATAATAACAGTAACTAGCATTTTTATGGTATTTTAAGGTTTGCAAAGCACCTTACAAATATCATTTCATTTTATCTCTACAACAGCCCTGGGAGTATGTATGTATTATTATCCCCAGTTTACAGATGAGGAAACAGAGGCAGGCAGAGATAAGCAAGTATTTGAACTCCAATCTTCCTCAGTCCAGGGCTCATGCTCTTCTATACCTCCTAGCTGCCTGTTAGCAAAGAGGACGTTCTATAAGGATGTAGAAGGTAGAGAGGCAACGAGGCCTTCCCCTTCCATTATCTATATGCCCAATACTGTAATTGGGGGAATGTTTTTTTTCTTTCTGCTAGAAATCTCAGGCCTGCCGCACCCCAGGGTCAGTTGCACTGCATTTGGCCCTTCACTGACCCTACCCTAACTAAAGGATTTTACAGTGGCACAGTCAAAAGAACCTTAGATTAGCTGTAGGAGGATCTGGAGTTCAAATTCTGTCTCGAACACTGACTATTTATATGGCCATAGATAAGTCATAAAAACACTCTGGACCTCAGTCTCACCATCTTTAAAGAGAAGGGCTTGAAATAGATGCTGTCTAAGGTCCTTCCTGGCTCAGAATGTCTGGCCCTGTGGTTTCAGCTAGAGATACCAAATACCATAATGAAATCCAAAGAGTCATAGGACTCAAGGGAGGTAAAGCTCACCTTTGGCCTTCAGGGTTAAGTAAGGAGAGGACTTCATAGAACAGGTGGGATTCCAGATGGGCCTTAAAGTGAGGGTGGGATTTTGATGGGGCATGTAGGAAGAGAAGGTATTCCAGGCAGAGGGAGCAAAGGGAACAAAATGGTAGAAGCAGGAAAACACAAAATTGGTGAGAGAAGAAGCAGAACAATTTGGCTGGAGCAGTTTTATGGAAGATAAGACAGTCAAGAAAGACTAGGTTGAGGGGCGGGGGTGCAGACTGTGGAGAGTTTTGCGTTCCAGGCTAAGGAATTTGGACTTTGTTCAATAGGCAATTGGGACACATGGAAGGCATTTGAGCAGGAGAGTAGCAGAATGAAAAGTCTATTCCAGGAAACTCAATATGATGACATAGGATTGTAGATCTTAAAAGGACCTTGGAAACCTTCCAAGCCAAGCCCCTCATTTTACAGGTGAGGAAATGGAGACTCGGGAATAAGTGGCTTGCCAAAGCGTCACAAGAAGGATTGGAACACCCAGGTTTTGTGACCCCAGATCTGGTACACTTTCCTCTATACATCCTTAGCTGTATAGGATAGCTAAGAGAGGAAAGAGAGATTGGAGACAAAGATCAGGTAACAAGCCATTGCATACCTTACTGTCAAAGCTCCTTCCTTTTTGTTGACAAGCGATTAAATGGGAGATTGTGCTTTTTTCAAGGCAGTTTGTTGGGAAGTATTTGTCGTGTTGAAACAAGATCTATGAATAAATTTTAAAAATAAATGAAAGGGTATTTTTAAAAAAGAGGTCATTTCAACAGTCTAGGTACAGGAAAGGACTGAGCTAGGATGATGGCAGTGGGATGGTTGGTAAAAAGCCAGTTTGTCTTTGGACACCAGTTTCCTCATCCATAAAATCAGGACCGTAGGCAAATTATCTGTATGACCTCTTCCTGCTCTGATTCTATGTTCTTGTTACTAATGGGAGAGACCTTGCAAAGGAAGGCTAGATAGGACTTGGTGAATGATGATGTGAGACTTCAGTGTCTTAAACCTTGATGGCCAGGAGAATGATGTCCTCATGAACCAAAACAGAGACGTTGGGAAGAGGACCAGCCAAGCTACTCAGAAACTTGAAGGACTTGCTGAAGATCCGACAAGTTGAGGGACAGAGGTCCAGAGCTCAGGTTTCTTGTCCCAAAGGCCAGTCTGTTTCCATCACACATACCCAACATAGCATTTTCACCTGACTTAAGCCTTTTGAGTAGGGCCCACTTCCTAAATGTTTTTTCACTCAAGTTCTGTTTTGCTGTGCCCATGAGAAGACTAAAGCAGGACCCCAGCATGCGTACCTATGCTTTAAAGGGGGCCCAGACAGCTAGCCTTTGGTAGTGTGCAC